GTAATGCCAAAGAATACAGACAACCAAAACTGAATTTTATGCCCAAACGAACATTAGACATTAGACAAGTAGACAGTCATATATATAATGAATCTTGACTCAGTTGTTCATACACACAATGACGTTGTATTTGTTCAATTTCCACATGAGAAGAATACCAACTGGCAAAGTCTTTGTCTTGACAAATCTTGATTTACCTGTGCACATAAATCACTGCCATTACTAAGTAAACTGACATAAATACATCTACATTTCAAAGACATTACAAATGGATTTTTCTACATTCAGATCAAATGAATCATGCGATTTGTCTCAATTTGCGTAATGTCATTCACAGTCACACTCTTTTTAGATTATGGCCCAGATCTTACATGGTCTGACCAGTTTGTCAAATATCTTTTAGCACCTAGGCCACCTGGGTAGAAATGTGTCTAACTACAGTTTGGTTAAAATGAAAGAGTCTGCTGTACACTGCTGACACAATTTTGTAGAGGAAGGTTCTTCATCCTCGAGGCTATCATTTGAAATTATAGAGATAATATATTGGCTAAAGCATGCACAAAAATTGGTTCTTATGATCACCGGAAGATCTGCATTGTGACCAAAGTTATTTGGCACTAGGAATTACTGCACCACCACCTAGCAGTGTCACACATTCAGACACACAGGTGCACCCGCACACACATTAAATATAATAAAGGAGAAATCTTTTGATCCCCATCTAAATATTGAGGAAGGCAACTCAGCCCCTTTGACATTTTTTCTCTTCCAGGCTATATTTGCTCAGCAATATTTACCTATGCTGGCATTTCCGTTGTTTGTCAATTTTCCTTATGAGGCTGTCATGTCAGTCGGAATGATGCACGGCGCTGACTACACATTTGGCAGGGTAAATGCCTGATATTTGCCTGGACCAAGCTCATGTGTGTGTGTGTGTGCATTCCCCCAAAATCCCACTCTTTCTTTATAACATTGAACTGATGACAATGTGTATAAAAATTACTGTTACGTATATTCGCTTTTTTATATTGCTTCAAATAATTATTAGACACCATAACAAAGAATTTATCCTCTTGACTAATGTGTGTGGTTTATGACCATGCCAGAATACTGAAAAATGTCAGGCATACAGTGATAGCAATGCTTTGTTGTGCTCTTGGCAGAATACAAGATCATTAGTAGATTAATAGAACTGACCTTTTTCCAGTGATCATAAGATCGAAGGCCTGGTTAACCTGATCTAGAGTCAGTCTGTGTGTCACAAATTCATCCAGCAGAAGCTTCCCGCTCATATAATCCTGAACCAACTTGGGCACTGCCTCAACACTCTTCCAACCTGTCAATCAGATAGGAAGAACAGAGAAGTTAAATATTAATTATTTGCAGGTGTTTTCCACTAATGAACAGTAAAATTAGAGATGACTAAAATGATTATGTGTAATTTCTGTATCACAACAACCTGGTACTGCAGCTGCATCATATACATTAGAATGTCATCATAAGATATAAATGCATTTAAATTTATTAGGTATGCTTTACCGCCAAAATAGGAGCCTTTCAGAGATTTTCCTAGCAGAATATCCTCAGCGACCAGAGTAAGTTCTCCCATCTGTGTCCAGCCCACCATCACACAGACTCCCCCTGCAGGACTACATGCTTCCACAGCGGCCCTCTGATTGTAAGATTCCTCTGATTGGTCATTATATCAGTTCTATCATTTACATATGTGACTATGTGGTAACTTGACTTGCTTTTGCAATTTGAAATAGACCTCTCTGACCCTAAAGTATTGCTAGATACAAGATTCAAGACATTTGCTTTTCCACACTAACTTACCATTACTCCCACATTCCCCACACACTCAAGAGAGAAGTCAACGCCACCATTAGTCAGCTCCCTCAGCACCTCCTGAATGGGTTTACTGTGGTCTTTAGGGTTCACAAACTCAGTTGCTCCAAAAGTCTTGGCAATCTCAGACTTGTCTGGGTTGATGTCAACGGCAATGATCCTGGAAGCACCGGCAGCCTTGCATCCCATGACAGCTGCCAGTCCAACAGCTCCCAAACCAAACACCGCACATGTAGAGCCAGATTCTACCTGTAGAAGACAATGCCAAAAAATATAACACACGCTACACGCTGGTGTGATGTTATTTCTATTTTACGTATTGCTTTATATTCCAGTGGAAATCAGACATCACACACACTTTGCCTGTGTTCACTGCTGCCCCATATCCTGTAGACACTCCACAGCCCAGCAGACAGACTCTGTACAGTGGAGCGTCTGGGTGAATCTTAGTGACATTGTCCTCTGGCACAACAGTGTATTCAGAGAAGGTGCTGATACCAATAAACTGGTAAATCTGCTGATTCTTGCAGGTGATCCTACTAGTGCCATCTGCAAGAAGACATTGCTGAGTTTTCTTCCTAGGAAATAAAGAGGGTCTAAATGGAATTGGCTTTTTTTTTCTTTTCACCCACCTCATGAATATAGTCTTGAGTTCAGAAGAACAAACACACATAAAAAAAAAAGAAAAGAAATCACACAAACATCACTCAGTAGTAAGTAACATTAACTCACCAGTTTTTGGTGCAGAGGTTTGTCTTTGGATTCAGGCAGCGTTCACATCGTCCACACTGTGGCACAACTAGAGGAATAACTTTATCTCCTATAGATAAATGGTTTAATGGTAGTGCAGTGTTTTGAATTAGAGCAAAAATTTAAGGAAAAAATAAAGCAGATTTATTTACAGTAAATAAAAAAAATAAATAAAAACCTTTCCATGGTGGAATTTTTGTTTACCTTTAGACATCTTTGTGACACCTGGACCAACACTCTCCACCACTCCTGCCCCCTCATGTCCCAAGATCACAGGAAAGGGCTGGGGATTCATAGTTTTACCAACCTCATGCAAGAAAGTCCAGTCTGTGTGGCATACTCCAGATGCTACTATCTGACATAGTAGGTCAACTGATAGTCATTAGTCTGACACATAAATGCTGCCTCTCCATTAATACAACATCACAATAAAGTGTTTATGCAAGTCTACATATAAGTGTTATATGTAAACAGATTGTATGCATGTTATATCTACACATAAGTTCAAGTTTATAAAAGTGTTCTATTTAAACAGATTGTTTGAATGGCTAATGAAGTGTAATGGACCTACTGTACCTTAATTCGTACTTCATGTGCTTTGGGAGGGGCAACCTCCACTTCCTCAATGGATAATGGTTTTCCTGGTTCCCAGGCCACTGCAGCCTTGCACTTTATAACCTTAGAGAAAAAGAAAAAAGGAAAAAAAATAATGTGATTTGTTTCATAGTCTTAAAAAAAACATTAATCATTCTTTGATGATAACTATTTGAGGATTGTCTTCCCCTTATGTCCGTACCTTACCCTCAGTTTCCATGGTAACCACACACTTTTAATACAAGGAATTGTTTCCAATTCTGTCTATAAACAGGCTCCTAAAAGAACATGAATGACAATTAAAATGCTAGAACTGGTGTTAAAGTTTCTCTCTCTCTTCTTTTTGTACAAGGCACTAGCAACACAAAATTGGCAAAAAATTAAACAGTATATAGGCAGCGTAGGTTTGAGAATGGCCTGTTTCAAGATGTTTGATGGTTCTAACATTGCATTTAAACATGATGTATGTAAAAGTGTTTTAAATTAATAGTAGTAGTATAAAATATCATAAAAAATATGAAAAACATATTGTGGTTTTTAATATGCTAATTTTATGGCTAATTATGAAAATACATGCTTTGTTGCAATATTTCAAATATTTGTGAGAGCATATTACCACCCCACTTTAGCTTAACATGTTAGAAAGGAGACAGTAGCTTTCATTTAAAGTGGGTCTCTTTTAAAGCTATTCTGATAGATTACCATCAAGCATTTTTTTTATATCATACATTAGTTAAAGCCTAGATTCCACTAATATGTGTATCTGTGCACACAGGCATGACGTTGCAGATGGTATCATATGTGGTACTCACCCCTATTTGGTGTAGCAATAAGTATGCAAGTGCACTATATTATGTGTTGTATTCATTCAAGTTTACATTACAAGCATGCAACACTTTTCACAGCAGAATGGTGATGTTTCAAATACAATTTTTTGTAAACAGTACACATTTCCTAAACATTACCAAAAAAAAAAAAAACTAACTTTATCTTAAAGATCAGTTCAGGTATAAACCATTGCCTAATAGTTATACTGACACTACACAAATACATTTTCAAATTAATTTACATTTAGTGGATTGTGAGATCCCTCAAAGCTAAAATGTAGTTTTGACTAGTTCACCCTATTTAAAACACATTCAGTAAAGCAGATGACTGCATGCACAGATTTACAGTTTGCAAATGTTTGTATGCTATTAATAACTTACACGAAGAGCTGTTTTTTGTCAGGGCTTGGGAGAGGACCTGCTGGTACTGGTACTTTGTACTAGTGCACAGCTGCTATATGATTATTCAATACATGTTACTGGCTGATTGGCCAATAAATCAACTGAACAAAGTCCTGCTTGCATGTGACCCACAGATAACTATGTGTCAACCTCCCTCTTCCCAACCTCGGAAAAAGCAAAACAAGTTTTAATTATGATCAGCATGTATTGAAGCCCAATGGAAATTTGCAACACTTAACTAAGGGTAATTCAATGACTGTAAGCCTAAAAGAAATAATAACATTTAGACCAGTGATATTTTACACTGTGTGTCTCAAGGCACACAGAAAGGATAGATACTCTTGCTGTACAGTGTACATTGAGAGAAAATAAATGGCGTAAATAAGGATGTTTTGCAGTGCAAGCTTGCCATCTGCTGCTAATAGAGAAGAGATACAACCAAATCAAATTCAACAAACTTGGCTTTATTGTGTGGAACAGTTTCTGATCATAACAGACATGGTCCTTGTATTCTCCTTGAGAAAATAAACAAAAAGAACAAGCAATGCTTTATTCTGTGACTTTTCCTTTCCTTCTGTACCTTTCATTCACTGTGCCTGTGTGCTATTGCCAGTACATACAGGCAGTAAAACGGGACCTTTGGATTAGCAGAAGATAATCATTGTCTAAATATAGACCTATCTATCTTTTTCTTGGTAAATATTGTAAAACAGTCTTTTATATTAGTCTGCAATGTTCAAAATGACATTTAACTGTCAAAATAACACACTTATGACATCGATTATGCCTTTCAGTTGGATAGTGCATGGCCGTTAGAGAGGTAGAGGAACCCACCAAAAGTACTTGAGTTGTTTGAAGGATATTGAGAATCATCTCCATTTCACATCTCAATCACTGTCCGAATACTGAGAAAGAGAGAAATAGATTAACAAATTATCGAAGTTTTTGCATGTTTCATGCCTACAGACTTTCTATCGTGGGATTTGAAACTATAAATAGAGAGAGAGAGAGAGAGAGAGAGAGAGAGATAGTTCACCTTATGTATTTTATGAGAGAGAGAGAGAGAGAGAGAGAGAGAGAGAGAGAGAGAGAGAGAGAGAGAGAGAGAGAGAGAGAGAGAGAACAATAAAAAGAGAGAGAGAGAGAGAGAGAGAGAGAGAGAGAGAGAGAGAGAGAGAGAGAGATAGTTCACCTTATGTATTTTATAAATGTATGTCATAGATCTTATTTTGAATAATTAATTCATGTTCCTTGAATGAGTTGAGTGTCATGTATGTTTCTGTTTTATCTCATCATTTATAATTTCAATCTTCCTGTGAAATGGCAGACTTCTCAAATTGTTTAGTCCACTTAAACCCCGCCCCTCCACAATCAAAATGTTTTTTTTTCAATAATCTGTTACACTCAGATGTCTGTCACAATACAGAAGAAAAGATCTGTCGCTACTTTAGTTTCATCACGACTTTAAGATAATAGTGCAATACCATATGTACTGTGAAATAATTAATTTTTATTTGAATATATAATATATGAATTTATTTAAATAAATTAAAAATATTTTTATAAAAAAAACTGACCTTTTACCAGTGATCATGTGATCAAAGGCCTGGTTAACCTGATCTAGAGTCAGTCTGTGTGTCACAAACTCATCCAGCAGAAGCTTCCCGCTCATATAGTCTTGAACAAGTCACCGCCTCAACACTCTTCCAACCTGTCAATCAGAACAACAGGTTCATTACTGTCAAATTATTAATTTTTCACTTTAAACAGCTCACACTACACTAAATACAGGGAAAGTTGACCTGGCATTTACCTCCAAAATAAGTACCTTTCAGAGTTCTTCCTAGGATATCCAGGGGGGCCAGAGAATGTTCACCTCAATCCAACCCACAATCACACAGATCCCCCCTGCAGGTCTGCACGCTTCCACAGCAGCCCTCTGGTCAGAGGAAATTGTAATAGTTCAATTAACCACAGGGCACATACAGTAAATGACTTTCGTCTACATGGCAACTTGACTTGCTTATATAAATGACACTGAAGTTAGAATACTTTTGAAAATTACAGCTCTACTAATAAACTTACAGATATTGTAATAATAATACACACTGATTATTGGAACACACACTCAAGAGAGAAGTCAACGCCACCATTAGTCAGCTCCCTCAGCACCTCCTGAATGGGTTTACTGTGGTCTTTAGGGTTCACAAACTCAGTTGCTCCAAAAGTCTTGGCAATCTCAGACTTGTCTGGGTTGATGTCAACGGCAATGATCCTGGAAGCACCGGCAGCCTTGCATCCCATGACAGCTGCCAGTCCAACAGCTCCCAAACCAAACACCGCACATGTAGAGCCAGATTCTACCTGTAGAAGACAATGCCAAAAAATATAACACACGCTACATGCTGGTGTGATGTTATTTCTATTTTACATATTGCTTTATATTCCAGTGGAAGTCAGACATCACACACACTTTGCCTATGTTCACTGCTGCCCCATATCCTGTAGACACTCCACAGCCCAGCAGACAGACTCTGTCCAGTGGAGCGTCTGGGTGAATCTTAGTGACATTGTCCTCTGGCACGACAGTGTATTCAGAGAAGGTGCTGATACCAATAAACTGGTAAATCTGCTGATTCTTGCAGGTGATCCTACTGGTGCCATCTTCAAGAACACCCTGTTGAGTTTTCTCCCTGGGAAGGAGAGAAAACTACAGTTGATCTCTATTCAAAAGCAGATGTTAAAAATTACATAGTATTTACAATAAATAAATAGTGATTTTATTATTATCATTAGTAGTAGTAGTAGTAGTAGTAGTAGTATTCTAACCAGTTTTTTGTACATAGGTTTGTCTTTGAACTCAGGCAGTGTTCACATTGTCCACACTGTGGCAGGAACAAAGGAATGACTTTATCTCCTGCAGATATATTAAAATAAAGTGTTCTGAAATGCTTACACACTTCTACATTCATGTATCTCGGAAGAACTTTCATTTACAGTATACACATTTCATATCTTGTTAGAAGTAAGAAGATTAAAAGTGTTTATGATGGATTTTTTGGTTTACCTTTAGACACCTTTGTGACACCTGGGACAACACTCTCCACAATTCCAGCCCCTTCGTTTCCCAGGATCAAAGGAAAAGACCATGGCTTCGTTTTAGCAACATCATACAGGTAAGTCCAATCTGAGTGGCATACTCCAGATGCTACTGTCTGAAAAGAGAAAATACTTCATATTAGTGAAATAAAATAATACTTGGCCCTTTGAGAGCACAATAAAGAAAGTTTTAATACAAATATGAATTAGTCATTTTAAAAGTAATTTTAAATAATGGAGAAGAAATATGTGAAAGAAATATTCAAGAAATATGTGGTTATTCTCTTACTCTCAGGCCTATTTTTAAGTTGTCTTTTAATTTTAAGTCTACATTTATATCTAGCCTAACATGACAAATATAGTGTCATGGATCTACCTTAATGCGTACTTCATGTGCTTTGGGAGGGGCAACCTCCACCTCCTCAGTGGAGAGTGCTTTTTCTGCTTCTCAGGCCACTGTTGGCTTGCACTTTATAACCTTAGAGAATAAAATTAAATATATGCACTACCATTCAAAGGTTTAGGGGCGGTAAGATTTTTTGTTTAATACTTTCTTTCAACAATGATGCATTAAATTCCTCAAAAATAACAGATAAGACATTTATAATGTTAAGAAAGATTTTTATTTCACATAAATGCTGTTATTTCTATTCATCAAAGAATCCTAAAAATGAATCATGGTTTCCACAAAATATTTACATGCAGCACAACAGTGCAGTTTTGAACACTGAAAATAATAGAAAATATTTCTTGAGCGCCAAATCAGCATATTAGACGGATTTCTGAAGGATCATGCTGTTGTTTAAAATTGCAATATTTCTTTTTGATAAAAAAATTCAGCCTTGTTGAGCATTAGAGATTGTTTTCATTTGCTACAAAAATACATTCATTTACTGTCATGTCCTTATCTTACCCTCAGTTTCCATGGCAACGAGACACTTTTGATATAGTGAATCTTTCCACTGTGGTCTTTCGTCTGCTATAGACAACATTGCAGAGACAGAACATTTATGGCAGTTAAATTGCTGAAACTAAAGCAGAAATAGTCAGATGATTATACAAAAAAAAAAAAAAGATTATGTCAAGAATCGTTCACTGCCTACTAATTCTAGTACTCAAGTGTGCTACTAATTTCTATTTGCTTTAGTTCAACATATAAAAACAACATTTTAACATTCCAAAAGACATTCAGAATGTCTCAGAAAAGGAGATGCATTTTATTATTGCTCTTCGCTCACTCAATGATTAAGCAATAAGCAGTGTTGTTGGTACTCTTCTGCTTTGAATATTCAGAATTTGGGATGCTGCAGGCCAAACATCATGTGATTGGCTAACCATCCTCCTTCTGTGCAAGGGTGGTGGAATCAAAACAAGTTGGAACGTGATCTCCATCTTGTGGAGCTGTTTGGAAACGACGTTCAACTTAAAGCAAAAACTCATCCCAAAATTTCATTGTTTTATACTCATTTATACCCTCAGTTACTTGGTCTTATAGCGACTTAGGAGTCCTCTTCACTACTCCTAACATTTCACAGATTTAGGAGCTAGTTTTAGAGCTAAAACACTTTGTGAAATACTCTTAGAGCAAAACTTTCTACATTTTGGATTGACATGCCCATTATTTGTAAGATTTTCTCTTAAATTAGTGAGTTATGATCTACTTTTATCCTTAAGATGTTTTGTGAATACGGGCCCTGGTTTACAACAAACCACTTGCCACAATAACAAATGTAGTGCTTATACCCTGAGTGAAGGGGAACAGGAGGACACTGATGGCTTTACTAGCTGTAATTGTGCTTTTTGTTGTAAGATGCTGTAGCACATTATCAGCTGAAGGTAGACTAAATATTAAAAATTAAAAACAAAGTTAAATGTTTTGACTGATCTATTGTTAACTGACATTATGATACCATTACACCTCTGGGTGTGTGGGCTTTGAAGTTGCTGTGCTTGGAAAGTCAACAGTTGCTGTACTGCAGACAGTTATGTTTTTTTTTTTTTTTTGGTGAATGCAACAAGTGTGTGGTCAACCTTCAGTTTTGTTTTATACCTAGAGCCCTTGTCCTCGAATGAAACCAATAGTACAGACACCACTTATGTGTGATTTCGGTGCTGTTGTATGGAAGTTACTTCATTCCTGTTAAAACAATTGATACCGGTGATGGTGAGTTTAACCCTTATCCTCCAAACCAACATTTGAACAACTATAAAAAGCATAAAGTAAAGCATATATGTGTGAGTGAATAAACATGTATAATATGTACAGATGTTATTTAAAACAGATTTACCTCTCAGGAAATATAACAGCTGTCCCAGTTGTGAAGTTTATTGGCTTTGGACTTGGAATTTTGCTTTGGGGATCCAGTGGATTGCTAATTGGATGGGCAAGCTCAAGGTAACCTGGACTGATGTTTGACAGAAAGGGTTTTAACTAGGGATGAAGTGAATTTTCTGATGTAAAACTTTGGAACATGGATTTCCATGCTGGCCCAGGCTAGTTGCTGACATGAGCATCTGGAAAATATTGAGAACGTTTGCTTGATGCAGCTTAAGTCATTGCTAAATATGTAATGTTAAGCAGTTTATGTCAGATAACAGATCATTTTGACTTGAGTTTAGTTTTTAATATTAGTTGAGCTTCTTTTTAACTTTAGCTCATCTGTAATATCAAGTAACAAGTTCTGTGATCTGAATGTTTATTTGAAATGTCTTTTTCTCAGAAGTATTGTGCTGCATTGGTTTAATGTACTTTTTTTAAATCTTTCTTTATAACACTTTAGATTGAGGTTCCATTTGTCAACATTAGTTTACTTTTGGACTAACAACATAAAGTACTTCTAAAGCATTTATTAATCTTTATCTTACTAATACATGATTAAAATAAAAAGTTGTTAATATTTATTATTATTGGACCTGAGCTCACATAAACTAACAATAAACAGTTGCATTTTTGATTAAGTTACATTAACAAAGATTAATAATGTAACTGATGTATTGCTCATTGTTGGTTAATATAATGGGACCTTATTGTAAAGTGTTATCCATGTTTTTAATTAAAGGCAGAGGTGAATTAACCTCTTAATTAATTCCTTTCGAAGTTTGGCTGGTTTGGTCTGCATCCAGAGGAAGTATCCAAGCCGATACTCAATTATTGTGGAGCTGGTCTTTGTCTGCTAAGGTAATCAGAGAGCAGACAATGTGATATCATTAAGCATTAGTTGTGTGCGTAGTATTTGGACGTAGACCATTAAGAGGATGTTTCATTGGTTAATGAAGGCTGAAATTTTACAAAGTAATGTTGAGTTCATTTAATAAAGAAGGTGCTTTTAAGTCCACAAAAGGAGGGCCGAAACCCACACCAGTGGAAAGGAAATGCTGCAGGCACACTGCTTTAGACAGTATGTCCATCCTGAAAATATTTCTAGTTCACTTAGGAGTTACACCTCACAGAGATCCTTTTGAGATCAAAGAGATCAAAGTTGTCTTGCTCGCCTAAAAGTTTCTCTGAAATTGAAAATGCAATATACTGCATAATGCGGGATAAATCTCCTCCTAAGACCTGAAGTCACATTGTATTGGATCCACAGTTCTATCTGATTTTATGGGATATGGGAATAAAAACATCCTTAGCTTTTATTTACTGTGAGAGAGAACCCTTTGGATCAGTATTTATGTAACACAATCATGTCTTTGTTTCAGTGCCATCATATTCTTCTTTGTGAAAAGTGATGTTCAGAAATGTACATCTACTGAATCCATGCCTTTGTTGATTGATGATGCACTCTAAAAAATGCTGGGTCGTTTCAACCCAACTTTGGGTCAAATATGGACTAACCCAACTTTTGGGTTAAAAATGTAATTTAAAAATGTAACCCAACGGTTGGGTTAGTCCATATTTTACCCAAAGTTGGGTTGAAGCAACCCAACATTTTTTAGAGTGTAGGGTAAGTTTGAAAGGGCTTTTCCACATTGAGAGCTTTTTGGACGTTATGCAGAATATTGTTTTGTGTATTTTTATCTTGGATACACAAGTCTTTGCTGAGATTTTGTGTGTACGTGAATTCACACGTCTGTCTTTAGAGGTTGAATCCAGACAGCGCAAGCCCCAGTGATTCATGGGTGGACACAATTTCACCAAAGAGCAAGAGAGCGCTGTAAGTATTTGTAGGCCCTCCAAGTTCCATTCTTTTTGCAGCTTGTCTACTTCTAGTTCATCAACACTGTACTGGAAAATCTGAATTTGATGGCTTCTATGCTAAAATATTCTTGCACTTGTTTGTGATTTTTTTTTTCCTAATGCATTTTTAAGTTATTTTTATATTTACATCTATGGTCTTTTCAGCTTTAGATTCTAGTATTGTGAAATCTCTGGACAATAAAGATCAAATCTATGGAATATTTATTTTCCATGATATCCTCTTGTTACAGTGGCTGCATCTTGACCATATTTTCAGGTGTCCTTTATGGTTCTTCTTTTGTGCCCGCTTTCTATATGCCACAACCAAGTCTAGTATGTTCACTGGATCCAGTCAGAATGGTATGTGTGTAAGCATGATTAAACAGTTATGTTAAAAAGCATTTAATGGGCTATTCTAACATGTTTTGCCATCCATTACAGAAATTGACTACTGATTTGCCCATTACAGTGGTATTTTCCTCATGAGCACAGTGTATTTTCTTGCTTACTGTGCAGTCATGAAGAACAGGCCTCGGATTTATCCCAGAGCCATCTTACCTGGTAATTAATTTTGCCTTCCATTGCATCATCTTTATCTTAACTTAAATGAAAGTACCATGTTGTTTTGTAATTCCACCACAGTTGTTACTATACTGAGTTACATACAGTGTACATTTAACCACTGACCACTATAAATGTGCGATTATAAAATATTCCCCCCGATATTCTATTACCTTTCTGCTCAATATTGTGTTCCTGTGTTCCTCATGTAAGATCTTCTGTGCAGATTGTTTGAGTGGCCTGATGTGGGGATTAGCCACATATGTCTGGATGTAATGATAGTGTGTTCTATTTTGGGTTTTGGCTTAGTAGCTGCTCTGTGGGGAAGTGTGGTATTTAAAGAGGTCAAAGTAGGTAACATAAAGCTATTTGTATTCATTCTGTGTTTCGGAGGACATTTTGACATGACCTAGCTTGACACTTTTTCCAATTGAATAGGAGTATTTATGTGTTGAGAGATCAGTTTGTGTAATGTATTATTGGAACTATTGCTATTATTTTGCTGTTGATTCATTACCTGTAATAATAAAAAATAAAAAAAGCAGAATCAACTTCTGTTTAGGCCGTTCTAACAAACTGATTTTATTTCCTCAGGGACTTGGGAACTTGCTGCTGTTTGCTTTGGCATCTTGTGTTGTCCTGGCAGGCTCCCTGTTAACTGCCTATTCAAAGATCTGAGTCTGTATGTTATGTTACCACAAGATGGCAATGGTGGATCAAGTTTTAAAACAATGTTCCTGCCAAACTTTGCAGTCCTTGAAGAGTCTTATCACTTGCATAAGGCCTCTGCTGCTTAGTAGCCCTTGATGTAATTTGCACGTTTGTGTCTGAGGCTTTTCATGAGGGTCCCTATATTTTCTGACCAGTGAATTGTCATGACAGACTGACAAAGACTTGACAAGCACTTTTATGTGCATATAGTGTAGAGTACAGTCTAAAGCTCTACAGTTTGAAATAATACGTTCCTGATGTACTTAAATGACTACACTTGTAGTGGTGTTGTGCCTGTATTTACACCAGTAAATTCAAGTACAGAACATGTAAAAACAACATTGTTTACAGGCAGGTGTGCACAGGCAAATTCTTCCTGGTGGAATATGCTATTGTAATTCATTTTAAGGTCTTCCTGACAGACCTGAGTGTTCCTGTTTTTGTAATTTATCAGCAACTGTTATAAAAAATAAATAATAAAATAAACCAGCCTAAGACAGTTAACTGAATTAAGAGGGTCTCCCAGCTGGGCCAAGCTAGTGGTCAGATGGTTTAGGTCAGACATGTGCTTCCAGTGAGACCAGCAGAAAAGTGTCTAAAACCCTTCTGAAACTTGTTTTCCAGCAAGAGTAGTGCAACTTGAGAAGCTCCCACCCCACTCAGCAGGGCTAGCTAACTAATCAAAAATACATATTACGTGGAAATGGTTACTATTAGTTCTGCGTAGTTTACAATGACAGCGTTCTAGTCTCTCGCGTTTGCACTGTAGGTGGGGCGTAAGGACAAGCGACATTCTTTCTCATTTGGGACTGTTATCTCAGCTGATCCGGCTTCGGGACAGTTGTCTCATTCATGCTGGAGCGGTAGCGCTGAGCGGATCATCTGGAGCTCCTGTGTGCCATCAACATGAAAACGAAACGAACACTATTCCAACGTGGATAACAGAAAATCGACTTAATCATGCGCAGACACTCGTACCAATGGATACGCATTCGACGCGTCCTGGAAATGTCGGGGACACTTTGATTTATTTGTCCGTGTCGTTTTTGAAAGTCTGCAACTGTTGGAAATATTCTGCCGCTAGGAAGTATTTGATTGTTGCTGTTGTGTGTTTTGTTTATTTGTTTTTCACCGTTCATGTCAGTCGTGCGTCTACTCGCCAGGACAAACGTCCTGATCTGTGGACTGGAAATAGCGTTTATTCTCAGAGTAAAACTGACCAGGACCCCGTTGATGGGGAGGTGAATGAATCTGTGAGCCCGACCAGGTCTAATGTGGTGTATATAACGCTCAAATTTAAGCGACACAAACCGGCCATCATCAGGGGCACAGTGCGACCCAAACTCCGGAGAAAGAAAGTTAAAGTGAGACAGCAGGGTAAAGTGAAGGACGCGGGACACAAAACCACCGCTAACACACGACTGGGATATTCTGAGCTTGATGGCAGTGACACTGGCTATTCATCCATAAGGATATACAGTGAAAGAGCTCCTCCATGGTTCAGCAATGACGATATCACTGCCATGCGCTTTCTAGCCGATAGTAAAATTACGCAAATTGATGAAGTGGCACCTGGGGGCTTTTCTTCTTTAATTTTGTTTAAAAGTGCGACAAATGGCACGGACGATGTTGATGAGTGTCGTAAATGTTGCGGTATTGTCAAGCGACCCTTGGACATGAGTGAGGTGTTCGCCTTTCATCTGGACAGGATTTTGGGACTGAACAGAACTTTGCCAGCTGTCAGCAGACGATTCCACTCTCTTGGAGGTAAGTGTACACTGTTTAAAAAAAAAAATTGTAAATAAAACAAAAGAAAATACTGTTTCAGCCTTTCTACTTCAGAAACGTAAAAGTTTAATTCAGTGTTACTTGCCAGTTCTTTGCAATTATTTGTGAAATTTGCTAAAAATGTTTTGAGTGAAAATTGTGGTAACACTTTACTTGAAGGGGTGTGCATAAGACTGACATGACACCTTCATAATCATGACATGACACATGTCATGAATATGAAGGAGGTTTTATGCATGTTTATGACAACTGTCATTAAGTGTCATTCGCTCAGTTATGTCATTTTTAATGCAAATATGACATTATTTGACCTAACCCTAATCTAACCCTACCCCTACCCTTACCCCTAACCATAGCCCATAACAAAGACATCTCAAACAATGTCATCTTTGCATTAAAAATTACATAACTGAGCGAATGACACTTAATGACAGTTTTCATAAACATGAATAAAAAACCTTCATATTCATGACATGTGTCATGTCATGATTATGTAGGTGTCATGTCATGATTATGAAGGTGTCATGTCAGTCTTATGCACACCCCTTCAAGTAAAGTGTAACCAAATTGTTTCTACCCCATTTATAGTGTAGCTATTTTTTCCTTTGCATTTGTATTTATTCAAACATAAACCTTTTATATTTATTTTTGTCATTGTTTATATATGTTCTATTTGATTTATATTTATTTTGATGTTTTATTGTTTTTAATTATTTTAGTTGCAGACACTACATTGTATTTAACATTGGATTAAGTTAGTAAAGAATATAGTATTTGGATACATACATCACAGTTAAAAATGTATAATTGCATTAGATAACAAAATATCAATATATTAAAATGTCAGTAAATACCAATTGGCATTAAAAGAGAAAAAGTAAATGATGCTTTTCTGAGAAAAGCATCATTTACTTGTCACCTAATGCAATGAAATTTGCATGCATTTTATTTTCTGGGGCTACTGTAATGGGGAGCCATTTCAGTGTCATCAAAAGCTGTCATGAGCTATTGACAAAGCAAGTATGACTGATGCTGACTTAGTGAATGTATACATATTCATCTTGTTTCAGATGGTCAGCCTTGTCCAGTGGTTTTGTGGGATCCTTCTTTAAGCCCAGTAGTAGATCAACCCTCTGAGAGGTTGAACTGGGGCTCATACCAAACCTCTCTCAAATACAAGTGCTGGCATCGGGGCATCATACCTAAACCAGAGTGGAGCTGCACCAGCATCCACCATCACGAATGGAGCAAGCTTGTAGTCTTTGATTTCCTCCTGCAGGTGCTCCACTATCATCTTTCTGCGTTGCTGTTCTGCGTAAACTGTAATTTTGTTGATAAGTAACATTTGTTCAGTAAAACATTTTGTTTATTTTAATTTAAATCCTTAAAGCAAAAAGATTGTGTTTCTTCTCAGATTTATGAACGTCTAGATAAAAACTGCTGTGGATTCAAGCCTCGCCCAGAGGACACCTGTGTTGAGCTTGGTTACCATGAAGAATGTAGAGACAAGGACGGCATAGAGCTGACACACATAATCCACCGTAAACATGACCCACACCACCTGGTTTTCTTCAACAACAAGGGCTACTTTGACCGAGATGAGGGGAATTTGAACTTCAGGCTACTAGAGGGAATCAAAGAGTGAGTAAAATTAGCAGACCTATTTCACATGTTCAAATATGACCACTTGATCTTTCATTTGTGTCAAAAATGACAGAGATTTCGCAGAGATACTATGCAAATGTTCTTTTTAAAAACAGATCATTCACACATACTTGTATTCCCTTTCAATTAAAATGTCTTGCCAGTTGTAAAGATATAGTTAATTGAAAATTCAAGCTTACAAACTCAAAGAAATAATTCCTTACAGTTTGTTTGATTAAATTACAAGTCCACAGTTTATCGGGTTTACATAGACATTATGGTTTAAATAAATTATAATTTTGGGCATCCTCTTTTCTCGCTCTTACTGGACAATCTGAGGTGGTTTGTAATTGCTGCAGCTAAGACTGCAACTAAGAATTCATTTCTGTGAGGCCACAAGTTTGGCCTTTCAGTAAGCCAACACCTCCACAACAGCACTGAAGACGTAAGCAAATACATACGCCAACAATCTGACACGTGCTGTCTGAGCTAAGGGATTCTGCTGGCAATACTGCTAATGTGATACCTCTGGGAACGCAAGCTCACTTGTGCAATAACATAAGTCAAAAAAATAAATAAAAATGATGGGCCATTGCTGTGTTTGAGTATCACTGCTTGCACGTTATCTGCATTACAGCTGGGTATTAATATGTCTGTTAGCAATACAATTTAGTTTTAGGGGGTTGTTAAAACAGTATATAAATGATATTTTATGTTGTACATTTTTTTTTTTAAATGTGGTTATTTCCTCCAAACTTAGTTTGTTTTAATAATTTTTGAGTGCATTACTATATTCCTTTAATACTTTTTCCCTTTCAGGCTACCAGATCAGTCTGTGTCAGTGCTGAGGTCTCAGCGTCTCAGGGAAAAGCTCCTGCAATCGCTATTTCTCGACCAGCAGTACTGGGACAGTCAGGGTGGCCGTCAAGGCATTGAAAAACTCATTGATGTGATTGAGAGAAGAGCCAAAGTCTTGCTCACATACATTAATGCCCATGGGATTAAAGTAGTACCTATGAACTCTTGACAAATGGAGCTTAAGCTTTCAATGTGTAAGACGAACCACCATCCTTTTGGTTTCCAATGAATGTTGATGTTTTCGACAGATTAGTATGCCAACGAAGACCTGCTGAAATTAAGCTCTTTCAGTCAAAATTCTATGCACTACAGAATTTAAGAGCACATTGGGGTGTTGTAAGCGCTGCTCCCATTTAAGACGAGAAGAAATTATAGTTCTTCAAATGCTCTACCCAGAGTCCAGGGCTATTTTTTGGCACCACTGACATTCCACAAGTTAAAGGCACTGTAAGTGATATGATCTGTTTTGGTAACTTCCACCAGCCTTAGCTTCTGAATTTGACTGCCTCTCATGTCCAAAATCCCGCCCACTAATGACATATCAGCAAACCTTATGTAAGCAATCCAAATTCTCAAACTGAGTCCTTTGGTCAGTTACACATTGATGTCTAACAGCCAGCCTGTTTTAATGTTTAAACAGCCAAGTTTGTCACAGAGAGGGGTGCGATTTCTCAGGATACCTATTTTAGTTACACTATACATCAAAGAGTGTGTACTATTCCATAAACACCACTAAAGTACTTTCAATTCCAATTTTATAATCAATGAATGTTCCTCTCAATAAGTAGTTTCAGTCAGTTATTAATTTCAACTAGCAGTACAGATTTGTAACAATATTTCTGCTATAATCTGCACATACAGTACATATGTTTTGTCTGCTGTGATGAAGGTGTTCATGATGATGGCTCCAGCATCGTTAAATCTGGAAATGTTGTACTTGTGTACAAGTTGATCACCATGAAGATGATATGAATCTTCTTTCATATGAATGGCAGTATTCACTGTGCCCTCAGAAGTGTTTATTTTTGTACTATATTGTTTGCATTTGTAAAAATATACATATATAGAATTAAAGTGGTACATATCAGTTAATCGTATAATCATTTCAATATTATATGGATTTTAGCACCACTGTTTGTCAACTTTGAAAAAACGTGATAATCTTTGAAATGGTTTGAAAAGTGCTTCTGTATTCACTGTAGCCCCTGAACAGCTACCGTGTTCATGTTCATGCTAGGAATACTTCAGTTTGAGTGCAGCTGAGTTCAGCTGTCTTCTCTCTTTGCCGTTCTCCTCCTCATTTGCGTTTTTTGCCAGCCAACTAGCCAGTCAGTTCTTAGAGCCTAAATGTCCCCTTTTGAAAGTGTACAGACGTACTTACCCACAGAAATAAGCTCACACAAGGGTTCTTTTATGAGTGGGAAAATACTTAATGTTTGGCAGCGCTACCCAGAATGCATTTTAGATGTATCTGCTCTGCACAGTGGACTTGCTGTGTCTTGCCACACTCTTTGCCAGACAAAACCAAGTCATTTGGAATGTCAAATCACCTCTGCCCATCTGGATGATATGCAAACACATGTGTAACGCTCAACTGCTAATGTTCGACATTCCTACTAAAGCAATGTCATTTTCCATCCTGCAGATGTTTTCTCAATAGAATGTTCGACCGAAATAGTAGTACAGATTTTTTTACACTGTAAATCCACAGGGAAGTGCTGTTTGCATCATATCAAATGCAGCATACCATAATAGGAATGTAAAGAAGCATATTTTGAGAGCTGATTTTACATATGACCAGTTTTATTTCAATGTTTGAAGTGTAATGAAATTCCTTTCAGTTGACACAATGATTCCAATCTAATAACTTCCTGTTTCTTCAGTCGAGTTTAAAAACAGTGTAAAACATGCCAAGTTACTTGCCACCCTGTGTATGTCATAGAGAGACCATTTGCACTTTTTCTTTCCCTCTGTTGTGCTTTCTTTCCCTCATTTTATATCCTAACAAGGAAGCTTTTATACCAGTTGGTCTGATCACTTCTTTTGCGACAACATTACCCTTTTCCCCTCTTTCAAACAAGCCATTATTCTCAATTTCTCCCTCTGTATCATTCTAACATAGCTTGTGACCTTAACCAGACTTATAAAAGACAGTTGAACATTAATTTAGAAGAACTTTCCATGTCATTTCTTTCTTCTTGTAACTATTATAGCCAGAACAACTTTTTTTATTATTACATTGCTTGTCATTCCTATCAACTCACAGCTGTTTTCATACTGACATCTCAAATTTTTGTGTCCTTAAATCCTCCTCTCATTTGCCTGCACCAGCTGACCTGCTCCATTTCTCGAGCATGTGAAAGTATGGAAAGGAATTTTACACTGCTGTTCACTGTCTATCTTATTTTTCTTCTTTATTTTCATTGTTGCTATGACAACATCATTCCAGCAACATCCCACCTGGTTGGCAGACAGATGTACAGTATGAGTTTGAGCGGTAGAAAGCATCAGACAGAACACAAACAGCGATGAGAGCTCATACCTCTGCACAAAAACAGAAGGCTCTAGACATAACAAGGGCACATTAGCCCCCCTCAGTTTCCCATCTAGAATATGAGTCTTGATCAACATTAACTTGCTCTGTGTGTAACCAAAAATGAATAAACAGATGGTCGAAAAAAGGAGATTAGATCAAATATCAGGGCATGTTATAACCTGAAAATGCACTTTGTGATGAGATAAAAGAGGTTAACTCTTCCCTGACCACAAAAACTCATATGAAAGTTAATTTGGGCGGAAGTAAAGACAGTGATTTGATCCTTAAAGAATAGTTCACCCAAAAATTTAAATACAGTCATAATTTGTTCAACTTGTAGTTCCAACGCCATTTTTTTTTTATAGAACACAAAAGGAGAGTTTCTGAAGGAGCTCCGCACAGCTCTTCTTCATAAAACAGCAGGTCAGTAGCCATGTACAGCATGTCAAGCTCCAAACACACTGAAAGTAAATCATAATAATTCACTGCAAATTTCCCCTTTCATCACAGCCCTCAAATCAGCTATGGTGCTTGGATGTCAATGATGTCAAGCATAAATGGTTACAACACATCCTGAGAACAATTATTGATGTGACACACCTGGCATCATACACTCTTAAAAAATAAACTTCCCCCTTCAGGAACTCGAGCTGCATCGAGAATCGCTTTGGGAACTCCCCGGCATGACCGCGTTCTGAAGCACGTGTAAAATCAGTCCAATGGAGCAGCGAGACGTCATGAGCAGGGTGACGTGAGCACCAGGAAGTTTAAAAGCGCATCCGGTAGAGCACAAGTTAGCTTCTGCTCTTCAGTAGCGCTCTGTGTATGTGTCAGTCTTATTTACTGTTGTCTGTCAGTCCACAAGCATTCAAAGAAAAGAAAATGTCAAAGTCTAAGCAAAAGTCTATGGCGAGCGAACGGCATTACAGACGTTGTGTTCCTCCCTGCCCACGCTATCTGGCAGCGGGGGATACACACAATCTGTGTGTTGTTTGTTTATTAGAGGAGCATGCATGGTCAGCTCTCGAGGGGGTTGATTGTCATGACTGCAAGTTACTCTCGCTGCGTATGCTCCGCTCTCGCCTGGCTGTGTTTGATGAGAGCGCCCAGGCTCGCGATCCCGCTGGCAGCGGTCCCGCTGTTGCCGAGGCACAGCGTAGACTGTTGTCGTGGGGATCACAGGTGGATTTAGCGGAGGGATCCAGCTAGATCCACGGCTCCCTCTCAGGGATCGGAAGCCCGCGCTGCGGTTTCTTCCCCCGGAGAGAGAGCCAGACACTTCATCTATCTTCCTCCGAGGAGGTGGATGTGATGAGTGTCGAGACAGAGGAGACTGTGGACTCGCCACCACAGTCCCTCGCGTATGAGGA